GGAGTTTGTATATAGATATAGGTTTGATGTTTCTCTATAAATAATTTGAATTTTGAGAGTTAATAACTGAATCCGAAACCAGGAAAAATAAAACAGAGAAACTAAATTTGGGAAAAATCTAAATGGAATTGGGGGGAGGTATGACATGTCTTGTATGACAAATGGTGTGTTGTGTTCTTCTGTCTTGGAATATTAGTCACCCATCATCAGCTCCTACAAGATCATAGAAATCACGTTCAGTCCTTCAACCCCCTCCCTCATACCCTCTCTCTAATTTTTCTCCTTCTTTATATTCCGGCTCATTCTTGTTTTATTGCGAGGAAGAGGCCCTCTCATTGTGCTGTTGTCTCTTTAGGATGGGGATGTTAGGTGGGAAATTCTAGTTTTGGTTTTGGAAGGAGAAGAGGGGGCATCTGGTTGGGTGTACTCACCAGATACCCTTATTCACCCCTAGTCCCTCATCCTCTGTCCCTTGGGGGGCCACATGCACTGTGGGGTGTCCTGGGCACCGTTAGCCTTTTGTCTGTCAAACAATGTCGTCCCCCCCCCCCCCCAACACTGGATAGGGACAGCACAGCGGCTTGGGCTTTCATGTTGTTCATTGTGCATTCATAGCATAAGGCTGTCCCTGACCCCCAATGCACCCCGTTTCCACACACACAACCAATGGATCACGGGTTGTCTCTCCAATGTGACCCACAGACCAGGGTATAACTTCGACCTTGGCTTGATCCAATACTCTGACCATAACTGTTCCATATTATGTCAACAACGTGGGTTCCATTTTTTTTTATGAACTCTGTTATATATATGTTGCTTTGGATAAAAATAATCTGTTAAGTGAACTAAATAGTACCATACCATACTACCATGGTAATAGTACCATATTATTTCATTGTGCTGCCCCTGCCTCTTGAAGCATTGCCACATTTTGGCCTCCATGCTGAATTGGGGTGAGGGGGATGCTACCCCAATTGGCTGTCCCACTCCAGTCTTCTCTGTATGAGCTGGGCCCCTAGGAAGGCTTCTTTGTGGGTTTATAACCACGGTAGACAGAAATAGGTCAGGCTGTCATTTTGTGTTTGACCATCACACCTCTAGCCTCTGATCCAGTGGTAGGATGCAGAGGTATAGCACACACATGCATGCGCACACTCACACACATTCAGACACAAAAAACACACTTAATACTTATTTGAATCCAATTACATTACAATCAAGGCACACTGTCGTCTAAATAAGGCCACTAGCACCATCTAAAGCATCGACAATAGGGCTTGTTGTGTACAATCTAACCCATAACAAGGAGCTCCGCTTCCTTGGTTCTGCTCCTCTTCTTCACACACATATTTTTTCTGTCACATACCTACACACGCAAACATGCACGTGCAAACACACGCATACACACACACAAATGTAATCAAAACGTCATATGTTGTTCTCGATGAATGAAATGCTGCATTTTGTTAGGAATATTGTTCGATCAAAGAAAGGCTTTTTCTAAGACTGTATGGTACAGGCTATTGCTTAGTTTCTAAAGGAATAAGCCACTAGCAAACATTGTGACAACCAACCCCATACTGTGTGACATCCAACCCTGCTAATAACTCCATGTTTGAATAAGGAAGATAAACATGGTCCCCATTTCAACCCAAGACCTTGGTCTTTCTATTAATGTTGAAAAGATTATTGTAAGATATACTGGTGCTGCCTGATAATACACATGAGTAAAGAGTGTGACAACCTCAACCCCGGTCCTGGTCTCCCCCACAGCCTTGATAGTCTATACTTACCTGTGGTTGAACAAAACTTTTTGAGTGGAGTAGTTATCCAAGCAACAAATTGTGATAACTGTGCAAGGGGGTGAATCATGGTGGCACTTTACCGGGCTATCAAGTAGGTCCCGACATTAATACGAATTCAGTTTCTCACAAGATATAAAAATAATACATAAGTGATTGGTATTTCCTGTAACTTTCTGAAGAAGCAATGGCATGGGAATGCCTGTCTGTGTGGTGCACGCTTGTCTATCACTTTGTGTAGCCAGTTAGCCAGTTCGCTCAACCTTATTCATGGTTTCCTTGCACATAAAGGTGGTGGAATTATGAGGGAATTAAGTCAAGATCAGAATATGTTTATCTGTAGACACACTGGTCCGCCACGCCTCCATGTCTTAGATCTCCACCTTGAAAGAAAAGTGGGGTGAATAGCATGCTATTTTCATGCTTAAATTCAAGGTCAGAATATGCATAGAGGAAAAGTGCACCAAAATAAATAACATTCCATTTATGGCTTAACTGGGGTCGGAATCAGGCCTTAGGTGCGGAATTAAATGAGAACCACACACATTTAAAAAAATGTGTTAGTTAAATGTTTGGGGGGATTTTATTTATGCGTTGACATGGACTCAGAACATCTAATTTTGATGTTTCTTTATAAATAATTGGAATTTTGAGAGTTAATAACTGAATCCGAAACCAGGAAAAGTAAAACAGAGAAACTCAATTTGGGAAAAATCTCAACGGAATTGGGGGGAGGTATGACATGTCTTGTATGACAAATGGTGTGTTGTGTTCTTCTGTCTTGGAATATTAGTCACCCATCATCAGCTCCTACAAGATCATAGAAATCACGTTCAGTCCTTCAACCCCCTCCCTCATACCCGCTCTCAAATTTTTCTCCTTCTTTATATTCCGGCTCATTCTTGTTTTATTGCGAGGAAGAGGCCCTCTTTGTTTGTGCTGTTGTCTCTTTAGGATGGGGATGTTAGGTGGGAAATTCTAGTTTTGGTTTTGGAAGGAGAAGTGGGGGCATCTGGTTGGGTGTACTCACCAGATACCCTTATTCACCCCTAGTCCCTCATCCTCTGTCCCTTGGGGGGCCACATGCACTGTGGGGTGTCCTGGGCACCGTTAGCCTTTTGTCTGTCAAACAATGCCCCCCCCCCCCCCCCCCCAACACTGGATAGGGACAGCACAGCGGCTTGGGCTTTCATGTTGTTCATTGTGCATTCATAGCATAAGGCTGTCCCTGACCCCCAATGCACCCCGTTTCCACACACACAACCAATGGATCACGGGTTGTCTCTCCAATGTGACCCACAGACCAGGGTATAACTTCGACCTTGGCTTGATCCAATACTCTGACCATAACTGTTCCATATTATGTCAACAACGTGGGTAAAATTTTTTTTAATGAACTCTGTTATTATATGTCGCTTTGGATAAAAATAATCTGTTAAGTGAACTAAATAGTACCATACCATACTACCATGGTAATAGTACCATATTATTTCATTGTGCTGCCCCTGCATCTTGAAGCATTGCCACATTTTGGCCTCCATGCTGAATTGGGGTGAGGGGGATGCTACCCCAATTGGATGTCCCACTCCAGTCTTCTCTGTATGGGCTGGGCCTCCTAGGAAGGCTTCTTTGTGGTTTATAACCACGGTAGACAGAAATAGGTCAGGCTGTCATTTTGTGTTTGACCATCACACCTCTAGCCTCTGATCCAGTGGTAGGATGCAGAGGTATAGCACACACATGCACGCGCACACTCACACACACATTCAGACACAAAAACACACACATTTTAAATACTTCATTTGAATCCACAAATTACATTACAATCCAAAGGCCACACTGTCAGTCTAAAGTACAAGGCCAAGACTGCCACACACACACACACACACACACACACACACACACACACACACACACACACACAAACACAAATACACAGACACACAACCCTAACCCTAATTATAAACCCAATCCTAAAGCTAACCCCTATGCCTAAAATAGGCTTTGTTCTCTTGGGGACCTGGGAAATGTCCCCACGAGGGAGAATTTTCCTTGTTTTACTATCCTTGTGGGGAATTTACCTGGTTAAATAAAGGTGAAATAAAATACAATATTTTTGGGGGGGAGATTTCTGGTACCCATGATTTCTGGTCATTTCAATCTTACACATGGGGACTCCCTAAAAACCCACCACTTCAATACAAGTGACTTTTTTGTAGAATGTTAGGAGAGCATTTTCGCTAACCCTAACCCTTTTCCTAACCTTAACCTAATTATTCTAACCTGCTACGTTAATTCTAGTGACCTGCTACGAAAAAGTTGTAGCTGTATCGAAGTGGCATGTTTTTAGGGAATCTCCTTACACATGAGTGACTTATAGAGGATAGGGGCTTTGCAAAGTTGTGGAAAAGAGTCCTTGACTTGTAAAAATGATGTCTACTGTTAATCTTGTCTGTGGGTGAATGGGTTATTGGTCATTCTCTACATTGTCCCAAAAATGTGAATGTCATCTTGACATAGTTCTGAAAGACATTCTAATACCGTATTTTATCCAAGACACTGGGTCAATATACACTGAGTGTACAAAACATATAATATTGAGTACCCCCTGCCCCCCCCTTTTGCCCTCAGAACAGCCTCAATTTGTCGGGGCATGGACTCTACAAGGTGTCTAAAGCATTACACAGGGATGCTGGCCCATGTTGACTCCAATGCTTCCCACAGTTGTGTCAAGTTGGCTGGATGTTATTTGGGTAGTGTAGACCATTCTTGATACACACAGGAAACAGTTGAGCGTGAAAAACCCAGCAGCGTTGCAGTTCTTGACACAAACCGGTGTGCCTGGCACCTACTACCATTCACGCTCTGAATGGCACACATACACAATCTATGTTTCAATTGTCTCAAGGCTTGAAAATAATTTTTTTACCTGTCTCCTCTCCTTCATCTACACTGATTTAAGTGAATTTAACGAGTGACATCAATAAGGGATTATAGCGTTCACCTGGATTCATCTGGTCAGTCTATGTCATGGAAAGAGCAGCTGTCCTTAATGTTTTGTACACTCAGTGTACACTACAATATCGTTTCATTTTGCACAGTATCATGACACTCCTTTATGTGCGACGCTCCCTTAGCGCTAACGTGATTTCATTGGCTAAGATGAAGATCTGACCCGCTGCTCCTTGCTTCGTTCGCTGTCAAATTCGCTGTACGCGAGGCATTCGTGAACAGGAAGAAAAATGCTTGATTCTGTTGGATGAAAGATGCAGTAGGAGAGAGTTTCTAAACAGCCTTTCGAATATTAGTTAAATAAATGCCCTGAGTGATTAGCTAACGTTATATTGCTTGCTTCATACAATATATCGATGAAACTAACTCAATTTGAACAGCATTCCAATGTTGGAATATTGCCTTGATGATAACTCACTAACTCATTGGTAAGTACACATCCATTCATCGCGACGTTTGTGAGAGGAGATAGCTAATTTAGGTACTGTACTGTAGCTAGCTAGTCTGCTGCTAATCGGGCGAGTTAGCTAGCTAGCTAACGTTAGTTATCTCTTGCCACCTAACGTTTAGTTGATGGAAGCCGGTTAGCCACTAGCCATCGTTGTTTTAGTTATAGTTATATGCATGTACCTAATGTACATTATTGATTCATTAGCTAACGTTAACATTCAGCTGGTATCAGATACCTAACGTTAACTACCTAGTTAGTTACCTTGTTGTTCTAACTACTGTAGCTAGCTAAAGTAACTGGGTGGTTGGCCAAAGTTGCCAATCCAGTGGCGGAGGTCTAATCGAAACCGGCTTGCATTTCCTGCTAACTAGGTATTTTGCACTCATAAACAATCTGATCAAATCAAATTGGAGTAGGAACTGTAAGAGATATAGCTAGCTACTCTACTGTAGCTTCGTATCCGTGTGCAATGCATACAGTAGGTTATGGTACAGTGAGTAGTTATGTATTTTTCGTTTCACTTTCCCGTGGTGTCCTCTCTTTGCAGACGCTCCCTACGCTTCAAATCATCCCAGCTTTCAGCCCGCCTCCAACGGCTCGAGCACAGGACCTCATTGCTGGGTGGCTGCTTACTGTGTTCTGGCTCACGGGGAGACGAACTGGACCGACCACTGACCCCGTAGTCGGCACAGCTTTCCCAGGGTTGCAACTCTCCCTGCGGTTGCACAGGACTAGGACGGTCGAGGGCATAGGCCCAGTGCTCGACAGCATTTAGGGAAACCTCCCATTCACTATCTCATCCAACCAATTCAGAGTGGTTATGGAGCTGGAGGTGAGCCGAACCGAGCTGGAAGGTCCCGATGCTCCCCAGTCTCTGAGACACGAGAGGAGCCTCGGACTGCTCACCACGAAGTTCGTTACTTTGCTGCAGGAAGCGAAAGACGGGGTGCTCGATCTCAAAGTAGTGAGTGATGATGGGCTTCATCTCTTTTGACTGTCTTGACTGTGTGAGAATTATTAGCTAAGGGTTGTTTATGTTTTAGTGTCGTCACAAAGTCTGCAATCTTATGACCTATATAAGTCTAAGGACTGCCTGGTTTGGTTGAAATTGATATTGCTGCATAGTGTTGTAACAGATGTGCAACAAACTCCGAGGAGATGCAGTCTGTGGAATATGACATAGACACAAACACCAGCGTTTCCGTTAGAAACATTTGTGACATGCCTCGTAAACAACAGGTGTAGACTAACTGTGTAATGCTTAAAGGGATACTTCGTGATTTCGGCAATGAGGCCCATTATCTACTTCCCCAGAATCAGATGAACTCGTGGATACCATTTTTATGTCTCTGTGTCCAGTATGAAGGACGTTTGAGGTAGTTTCGCGAGCCAATGCTAACTAGCGTTAGCGCAATGACTGGAAGTCTATGGGTATCAGCTAGCATGCTAGCAGATACCACAGACTTCCACTCATTATGCTAACGCTATTTACCAATTGTGCTAGCACTAGTTATCAAATTCCTTCAAACTGCACGCAGAGACATTAAAATGGTATCCACAAGTTCATCTGATTCTGGGGAAGTAGATAAAGGGCCTCATTGCCAAAATCCTGAAGTATCCCTTTAAATGGCGAATGGGAGGCATGCTTCAATTACCAGTTGAGAAATTAAAAAATAGTTGCTATTTTTAATCATGACCATCAAAACTGTTTTTGACACGTGATTGCATTTAGAATTGTTGCGCAATGACACTCCAGCAGCAACGAGCTGAGGATCTGCAGCAGCAGCTCTAGCGCTGTCTTACAAGGGATCTTCCGCTCCAAATGGGCTCTGTAATAAGATACATGACGACTAACGAATATACACACGTCCCAATTTAATTCCACTAGATTTTGTAAATTAAAGCTGCACGATGCAGAAATCGATCCACCATTTCCTGGTTGCAAAAATTCTAATAGTTCGCCTAATTTCAATTTATGTGACAAAACAAGCAAGTATAGTGTAGAGAATCATTATACCATCTAAACCGCTGTGATATATATTTTCCATAACCAAAAATATTGTATTTTCAGCAGTTTGAAGCTGGTGTACAAAACTGAAAGTAAAAGATGAAAAAACGAAACTTAAGAACAGGAAGCATAGAAATAGCGCACATAGAACAGATCTACCGCTTCTTAGACTTGCTTTCAATGAGAATGACAGATCTGTAACTCACATTTCTATGTGAATTTGGTCGCGTTGCCCAAAAAGTTACATATTGCAGCTTTAACCTATAGACCGATGAGCATGACGGTCAAATGTATTTCCATCAACTGATATTTCAATCAATGAATAAAAAGTATTATTTTGTAATGGGATTGCTTTTTCTCCCGGTCAATTTGACCAGCAACAATTTTATTTATCGGCATTTCATTTTTTTTATCGGACAAAAGCCGGCAATTACACATGCACTGCGATCGTGATGATTTATACTCTAAAATAAAATAGAAGCTTAAACTCTAATATAAAACTAAGTGTAAAACTGTTACATTATCTAGGTTAATGTCAGTAAGGAGTTTGAGAAATAAAAGAGAGGGTAAAACACTGAAAGAGAGTGTGTGTAAAAGAGAGACAAGCCGTGTCTCATCGCTCAGCGGGTGGCTTTGTCACGGTCTGTCATTATTGTCCGCATTGTTTAGTCCCCCCTCTGATAGGCACATAGGGTTGTGACCTCTCCTATTACTGGCTACCAGGGCTATGACCCATCCAGTGATTGGTTGACAGGCCTCAGTCTCACAGGCTCTGACCTTTGTGATTTGTTATTAACCCCACGCTGGATGATGCACCCCCCCCCCCTAAGGAGAATAGCCTTGGTAGGGACATTTGGGTGCTTGCGTTTTAAAATAATTCATTAAGTTATTTTGCTCCTGATGAGAGAGGGTGACCTTTGACAGTTGCGTTGTGAGTAATGTTGTTTTTCCTGCTCTTGTAGGCAGCAGACACCCTGGCCGTCAGACAGAAGAGGCGCATCTATGACATCACCAATGTGCTGGAGGGCATCGGCCTGATCGAGAAGAAGTCCAAGAACAGTATTCAGTGGAAGTGAGTAAGTGTGTGTATGTTCGCGCGCTTGTATGTGTGTAGGTATGCATGCAGTATGTGCTTACATTTCTCTACACTCTCTGTCTAAGGGGAGTTGGGCCAGGCTGTAACACAAGGGAGATTGGTGACAGGCTGATTGACCTGAAGTCGGAGCTTGAAGATCTGGATATGAGGGAAAGTGAGCTGGATCAGCAGAGGGTGTGGGTCCAACAAAGCATCAAGAACGTGACCGAGGACACACACAATAGTCCATATCCTTACTATGTACCCACATACTCATACCTACACCAACATCTAAATTGTTACCCCAACCTAACCTTACATAGGTATCCATGTCAGTCCACAGTTCACACCATTAGAAACGTATTGAAAAGAGCTGCAGCTCCATCTTGTCTGTACAATAGCAGAGGATACACTTGCCAGCGTTAACACTGTTATAATACTCTGTTAAGTGTAAAGGTGCGTGTCTGACCTTAACTCTGACCAACTCTGGCCTATGTTAACCATGAGGACATCTGCAGCTGCTTCAAAGATGATACCCTCTTGGCGGTGCGTGCGCCCTCTGGTACGCAGCTGGAGGTGCCCATACCTGAAGCTGTAAGTTCGATTAGTTTCTGCCTCCTCCTCCTCCTCCCCCTAGTCAGTCTGTGTCAGTCTTCTGTGTGTGTTTGTCTCCACTTTTAGGTGCAAAACGGTCAGAGGAGGTATCAGATCCATCTGAAGAGCACTTCTGGGCCCATTGATGTAATGCTTATCAACAAGGACCCAGTTAACTCCACCCCCATGGTGCTGCCAGTCCCGCCCCCTGAGGAAATGCTGCAGAACGCCAAGTCTGCTGCAGCCTCTGCTGACACAACCACTGCCACTAACACACCCACCCACACATTGTCAAGACCACCCAGAGTCTGGCCACCGGCAAGCCTAAAGCAAATACAGCAGCTAAGCCATCAGGTGACCTCACTGTTATATCTCTCATGGTCTGCTAAACTCTCAATACAATATCGTTGAATTGTCCCATGTCCACCTCTGTGTCCATATAACTCTCTCTCTCGCTCACTCCCTCTCTCTCCCTCTCCTGACCAGACACCCCCAGCACTGAAAAACCTGATCAGCAACCACCATTGGATACCCGGTCCCTCCAGTCTTCTGCTTCATTGGACAACAACTCGACTGTCTTTGAACCAATCAAATCCGATTCATCTGACTGTGAGTTAGAATTCAGTTTATCTGTGTGTGCGCGTGTGCATGTTGTGTGGTAGCAGCAATCGGGTTGGGCGATATTACGATAGTATCGGATATCGAAGATGATTGGCAGCCAGCGTCGACGGAGACGACATTGTGATGCGACAGATGATGTATAGCCTATTTCAACTTGACTGCATAACCTATTTCAATAAATATGTTATAAACAATTTACAGAATGCAAGAGAACAATTTAGACAGAGCTAAGATTTTCACCAAAGTGCCGCAAAATGTCCAGTCAGAAAATGTTAGTTTTTTCCTCTCAATGTTGGATGATCTGGGCCCTATAGCCGAAGCCTATTTTATTTTTTATCGCAGACACTCAGGTGTGTAATTATTTTAAAAGCCAAATGTTGTCTCTTCTCTCCATTTGATATGAATATGACTTACGTTTTTATGCATGCTGGCTTTCTCCCGCAGTGCTACTTCATGATCTAACGGCGTTCTAGGCTATCTAAAAGTTGTAGCTTGTTTTTGAATAATGAGATGTAGAACAAACAAAAGCAAGATAGAAAAATCCAACGAGTCGTTTGAACAAACCTTACAGCTGAACAAAGCTTAGTCTATTGTCAAATGATGCATGCAACTCTCCTCCTTGCCGTTGTGAACCAAACGGCTAAAAGCCAAATCCTACTAATTAAAATAGCCTATCAAAAGCATGAAGTTAAAATGATGAAGACTATTTCCCAAATAGGCTATTCTAATGAAGTGTTTAACATCCTAAAGTTGCAGCTTTCAAATGGAAACATTTGTGAAAAGTAGTTTATAGGCAATTCTCTATCACAGCTTTATTTTGAATGACAAATATTACAGGCAACAATAAGTGAAATTGAGCAAACAATAACAAGATGGAAAAATCAAATGAGAAGTCAAAATAACTTACAGCTGAGCAAAGCTTATGAAAGAAACGATGTGTAGAGTTGGCCTATTTCCATAGCCTATTATTAGCAATGCAGGCTACAACCTACCTATACAACGTATAGAAGCCTAGGCCTAATAAGAGAGGAAGATTAGGTACAAATGTGAATCATTGAATAATTATCCAGTTCTGAGGACAGCAGAGTTGCATGCTCTGCAGCCGGCCCTTGATGATTTACAACCCATCACAGGACGTACAGCCAGCTAGGATCCTTGACTGTCACTTGTGCTTCGGCACACAGACTAGGGCAGGGCGATATATCGAATTTCTAATGTATGTTTTTGCGCGATATTCCAAATGCCTGTATCTCAGAATAGTGTTTATGTCCTTTTGTTGTCTTTTTGGTCCCGTCTCCTTCGCTCCTTCTGTGCTGTGTGCACCTTCCCATTTACACCAGAGATCTACAGTGGGGAGAACAAGTATTTGATACACTGCCGATTTTGCAGGTTTTCCTACTTACAAAGCATGTAGAGGTCTGTAATTTTTTATCATAGGTACACTTCAACTGTGAGAGACGGAATCTAAAACAAAAATCCAGAAAATCACATTGTATGATTTTTAAGTAATTAATTTGCATTTTATTGCATGACATAAGTATTTGATCACCTACCAACCAGTAAGAATTCCGGCTCTCACAGACCTGTTAGTTTTTCTTTAAGAAGCCCTCCTCTTCTCCACTCATTACCTCTATTAACTGCACCTGTTTGAGCTCGTTACCTGTATAAAAGACACCTGTCCACACACTCAATCAAACAGACTCCAACCTCTCCACAATGGCCAAAACCAGAGAGCTGTGTAAGGACATCAGGGATAAAATTGTAGACCTGCACAAGGCTGGGATTTGCTACAGGACAATAGGCAAGCAACTTGGTGAGAAGGCAACAACTGTTGGCGCAATTATTAGAAAATGGAAGAAGTTCAAGATGACGGTCAATTACCCTCGGTCTGGGGCTCCATGCAAGATCTCACCTCGTGGGGCATCAATGATCATGAGGAAGGTGAGGGATCAGCCCAGAACTACACGGCAGGACCTGGTCAATGACCTGAAGAGAGCTGGGACCACAGTCTCAAAGAAAATCATTAGTAACACACTACGCCGTCATGGATTAAAATCCTGCAGCGCACGCAAGGTTCCCCTGCTCAAGCCAGCGCATGTCCAGGCCCGTCTGAAGTTTGCCAATGACCATCTGGATGATCCAGAGGAGGAATGGGAGAAGGTCATGTGGTCTGATGAGACAAAAATAGAGCTTTTTGGTCTAAACTCCACTCGCCGTGTTTGGAGGAAGAAGAATGATGAGTACAACCCCAAGAACACCATCCCAACCGTGAAGCATGGAGGTGGAAACATCATTCTTTGGGGATGCTTTTCTGCAAAGGGGACAGGACGACTGCACCGTATTGAGGGGAGGATGGATGGGGCAATGTATCGCGAGATCTTGGCCAACAACCTCCTTCCCTCAGTAAGAGCATTGAAGATGGGTCGTGGCTGGGTTTTCCAGCATGACAACGACCCGAGACACACAGCCAGGGCAACTAAGGAGTGGCTCCGTAAAAAGCACCTCAAGGTCCTGGAGTGGCCTAGCCAGTCTCCAGACCTGAACCCAATAGAACATCTTTGGAGGGAGCTGAAAGTCCGTATTGCCCAGCGACAGCCCCGAAACCTGAAGGATCTGGAGAAGGTCTGTATGGAGGTGTGGGCCAAAATCCCTGCTGCAGTGTGTGCAAACCTGGTCAAGACCTACAGGAAACGTATGATCTCTGTAATTGCAAACAAAGGTTTCTGTACCAAATATTAAGGTCTGCTTTTCTGATGTATCAAATACTTATGTCATGCAATAAAATGCCAATGTAATTACTTAAAAATCATACAATGTGATTTTCTGGATTTTTGTTTTAGATTCCGTCTCTCACAGTTGAAGTGTACCTATGATAAAAATTACAGACCTCTATATGCTTTGTAAGTAAGAAAACCTGCAAAATCAGCAGTGTATCAAATACTTGTTCTCCCCACTGTATATATAATGACAAGATGCTAATGTCTCTTCCCTAACAATGGGAGTCGTTGTCCCAAAGGTGGGATGGCAGGTGACAAGCTTAGGTCCAAAATAAGCCCATAGAAACGCATTGGGTTTATTTTGGACAGATTTTTGCGAGTGAAACATTTGTCAACATTTGTCAAACCTCTCACTTCGCCTCTTCCTCTCTGTTTACACATACACACCAAGCCCCTCTCCCTGCCACTCACAACAACAAAGATGAGAGATCACTTCTTCCTCTCTGACAAGCGGGTTTCAACTCGCTATTTGCATTTGAGGTTTGGTCCAACAGAATCGGTCATATGGACACCGAAATACCTTGAGACATTATTTTACTGTAATTATTTTACTTTCTAACGGTACCCTTTTTATGTCTCAACTCCTCAAATTGCGCGCAGAGCAGACACTACTAAAACGGGAGTATCAATGAACATTTCATTCTGCTCAGTTTGTCACACGCGCATTGCGGTACCATGTACCGCTAGCAGCATTTTAGTCAAAGATTGTTATGCTAGCTGTCTAATTTGTTTATGAGACCTGTGTAAATGTTCTATAATGCCTGCTACAAGAAGTTAGTCATTATTAGTGAATGTGCATTATGCATGGTTCTGGTAGAATTTGTAACAAAAAGGCAATTTTCATAGACTGACTTGGAAGCCAGATCAGTGATTATTGCAAAAAAGCATGTTAAATTATTTAGATACAATTATATTATTAGTGGGTCTTATGGTTGTGGAACGCTTATTTTTAGCCTAGGTAGAATTTCACAAGCCCTGAATTCATTCGATTATTGCTGACTGTTTGAAATGCAGTGTTATTTGCCCTTTAATTGTATAACAAAGCTTATTTTGAGAAAACATTTGTAAAAAATCAAAGAATCGAGATGATTTTTAGGCTATGTCGCCCAGACCTAATACCGGCACACACCTCTTTGGTGCCACAGCTCCAACCGAGAGGAATACACTATTAAAAAAGATTGGGCTCCAAAATATATTTTGTCATGATTCCTCTCGTCCCTCCCGTAGCATGCGAGCTCGCTAGAGATCCTTTTTTGCAGATTAAAAAATATATATATTTGTTTAACCTAAAAAAAAACAAAAAAAAAACATTAATTAAATTGTGGGGTTGGCCAATAGGGGACGATACCATCGTACATCACAATGTTTTATGGGTACTTAATCACGATAGGACAATGGTTGACATCGCCCAACCATAAGCAGCAATGTGATGGAGGGAGATAAACCTTGGCACTGGGCTAGTACTCCAACGGTCTCTCACAAACACACACGTAACGTACATTGTTTATCTGTTTAGTAAGCACACACTTCCGACCACTGTTTTTTTTACATTAAAACCCTGGCTATGCCCAATGCACTGTAACACAGGAAGCATCTGTGTGGCAACAAATGATGTACAATGCCTGCCTGCTATAGAAATGTGTGTGTGTGTGTGCAAGCTGTTTTATTTTTGCTTGTTTAATAAATGTACACAGGAAAACGGTGTGTGAAAGGGCTCTACCTTATAAAAACAACCTCTCGTGTGCTTGTATGGTGTTCATATTGTGCCTTGTGTTTTTCAGTGCTGGATTTCCCCAAATACTTTTCTGACATGTTTGACCCCGCTAAAGGTACTGTTTGTGACTGCATGTGTGTGTGTGCATGTGTATCGTGTCTTAAACGTTATTTAAATGTATCCAAACAGACCCTTGCATTGTATTTCAGGTAAATAAGTTAATGATAAACCGTGTCTTTATGTGTACAGCAGACACTCTCTCACCCCCCCCCCCCCCCCCTCTCTCTCTCTGTAGAGATGGTGAGTGCAGATCTACTAGAGGAACTTATGGCTTCAGAAGGTGAGTCTAAAACGGATGATGTTATAACCACCTTTACTTTGACTAGATGATTCCAGTTATTCATGTATATATCCCACTCTCTCCCTCTCTCTCTGCCAGTGTTCTCTCCACTCCTCCGCCTCTCTCCTCCCCCGGGGGACCATGACTACATCTATAACCTGGATGAGAGCGAGGGCCTCTGCGACCTCTTTGACATCCCCATCCTCAACCTTTGACCTATGAACCATGGGTAATCAGGCTCACATGAAGAGGCCTTTTTAAAGAAAGAAAATAACACTTTTTTTAAACAATTCTTTGAGGACTAACAAACAGATGAAGTGGTCTATTTTTGGAGTCTTGTAGTAGAAGCTGAATTGATGAACAAACAGTTTTTGATAATTTTCATAATCTTTATTTTTGTCGCGTCCCCTTCGTTGATGTCTGAACAGGAAGTAATTTAGGTGATGCAACTTATCCTGGAGAGCAGCCCTCCCTTACTGGCTTATAGGCTTTAATGATGTCGTGGAATATATTTTTGGATCTGTGCTACTGAAGCGGCAGTGGATGTGTTTTTAAAAGTTGAGTTGTGCTACATTTGGAGCGAGTAAAGATGGCTTGGCTTGGGTTGAGGAAATGAAATGAATGGGATGCTCAAGGCAAAATCAACCACTACACCTAGGCACTTATGTACATCTGAAACTGTTGGATAGGTAGAGCTATTACCATATTGTAGACCTAGGGGTAGGGAGGGATAGGTGCTGTGAGGAGCTGCAATGAGCTGTACATGTGAGGAGTGCAGCTACTCCAGTGCCCACATAGTGGTGCTAGAGTCACAGCAGGAAGAGAAGATCAGCTCCCTCACCTGCCGCACCATAGTCTCTCTTATGAGTCAGGCACACAAGACCAGCCACAACACCACAATATACTGACAACAACATGTAAATCCATTAAAAGCCTTTACCAGTCCTAATCTATTGATACTATTGATGAGGCTTACAGTTCTCTTCAGTTGCTGGTGCATTTTATATCTTGTCTGTTTCTCCCTCAAAGTGTATGTGTGTGTGTGAGCATGGGGAGAGGTTTTTTATTTGTAATTTTCACAAGTCTCAACTCTGAATTCTATTGTAAAATGCTCTTTATTTTGGTGTATTTTTATACTGAACTGACACTGTCAAGGAACAGTACATATATATTTTGTCTGTCTCTGTGTTTTGACATCCTTATCCAGATTCAACTATGATGATATGTGTTTGTTCAGGAAGTTCAGTAGTGAATATTTTTCAAATGTAGTGTCAAATCTGCTGTTTCATTTGTATTGTTTGGTTGTATTGCATATTTCTGTTTGTAACCTGCTCATGTTCTGATGAGTAAGTTCTCATGAGTTCACATCAGGGGTGAACTGGAACCAGAAATCGGTCTGGGAATTTCTGTCACCCCGGCCTATCTGTTCGGGGACGTATATTTTTGGTCAGAGTCTGTGAAATGGGACGTGTGTGTGTGTGTGCGTGCGTGCATGTCTTGTATCAAGCTCCTGTTTTGTAGCTTGTTGTGGGAGAGGAAAAGTTAAATAGAAAGGCTGAACTATTCTACAGGTGATATGTTGGTTGTATACATAAATGTGTTTATTTTTCTATATCAGGAATATACTAATTGTAACCCCTATCTCCTCCAATTCTACAGTGTATAAGTTGCAGATTGACATACATGCACCAGTCTTTGTTATCCTATGTGCAAACAACCTCAGCATGCAGCCACAAATCCACTGAGTAAACCTGCCTATGTTTTTATACGCTAAGTGAGGCTCAGAGAATATTTGTTTTAGAAATGGGCGGTCACTCCTGATTACCGGTATGAATTTAAAAGATTATATTAAAACCTTTTTGAATTTTGTCTTTCTTTTATTGCATCACACAACAGGCACACCTTTGTCTACTTAGTTGACACCATGAGGAGCATAATATTATGTTAAGTGGCTGGCATGGCATGTGGCTGGCAAGTGGCCAGTATCTTTCAAACAGGCTGAGGCAATTTAGATTGGGTCAAGGATACTTTGGAGTTCAGTGGTGTAAAGTACTTAAGTAAAAATTATTAAAGTACAACTTAAGTAGTTTTTTGGGACAACTTTTACTTCACTACATTCCTAAAGAAAATAATGTACTTTTGGTCCATACATTTTCTCTGACACCCAAAAGTACTCGTTACATTTTGAATGCTTAGCAGGACAGAAAAATTGTCAAATTCACGCACTTATCAAGAGAATATCCTGGACATCCCTACCTGCTTGCTACATTCTTTAGGGCTATCTGACTGAATGTGAAATAGACTGACATTTGAGCTTGGTTGAAGCAGTGTACCTAAAGTAGCAGAGCAGTTTCACAATTGAAGAAGAGGGTAGTGTGTACGGCCCAGTACATCACTGGGACAGAGCTCCCTGCCATCCAGGACCTCTATACCAGGCAGTGTCAGAGGAAGGCCCTAAAAATTGTCAAAGACTCCAGCCACCCAAGTCATAGACTGTTCTCTCTGCTACCGCATGGCAAGCGGTACCGGATCGCAAAGTCTGAGACCAAAAGGCTCCTGGACAGCTTCTACCCCCAAGCCATAAGACTGCTGAACAGTTAATCAAATGGCTACCTGGACTATTTGCATTGACCCCCTGTTTTTTGCACTGCCTCTATGCACACTCAGACTCTACCCACACGCTCACACATACTATACTGACACTCCAACACACACACACTATATATGCTCATACACATGCATATTGACTCCTCACACAGACTCACACTTTCACACTTTTCACATATGCTGCTGCTACTCTGTTTATTATCTGTCCTGATTGCCTAGTCACTTTTAGCCCTACCTACATGTACATATTACATCAATTACCTCGTACCCCTGCACATTGACTCGGTACCGGTACTCCTTGCACAGTATATAGCCTCGTTATTGTTATTTTATTGCGTTACTATTAACTTTTTTTATTTAGCAGATTTTTTAACTCTGCATTGTTGGGAAAGGGATCGTAATTAAGAGTTTCACGGTAAAGTCTACACCTGTTGTATTCGGCGCATGTGACAAATACAATTTGATTTGATTTATATGAAAGAGAAGAGTCACTCTGCACGCTGTTCAATCCGCTCTACAAGTAGGTTGAGCTGGAGAAATTGTTAAACGCAACTCAACATTCACTGATCGGAACCCCATCTCAACTTTCCCTGATCGGAACCCCTCTTTACTTATTTGTGGTTCTTTTTTATTTTCAATTCTTAGAGTTGTGACTGCTTGCTAAGTTCTTTAAGGCTATCTGACTGAAGGTGATAGACTGACATTTAAACTTCGTTGAAGCAGTGTAACTGAAGTAGCTGAGGAGTTTCACAATTGAAGAAATGAAACCAAAGTGTTTTTGGCAGCCTGTCAAACATGATGTAGCGGCGGTATGAATGATAAGAGTCACTCTGCGTACTGTTCTATTGGCTCCACAAATAGGTTGAGCTGGACAGATGGTTACTCTCAAAACTCAACTCTCCCTGATCGGATCTCCTCTCTACTTGTTTGTGGTTCTTTTTTGTTTAATATGATAGAAACTGCGGTCTCAATAGCTGTAGCCTATAGGCTATTGTTCATAAAAGTGTCCATATATTTAATAAAAATGCTACATATCACCTAGCCTTTATGAAGTCAATATGAACTACTTACTAGAACTTCTACGTTTATATTAGTAATTTCTGTCTCTTAGATCTCAAATGTCACAGACACAGACTTTATGTTGACTGATGGTTATTTTTTGAGACAATAAAAAAAACTTAGCCCATATGAAATGTTTTTAACAGTTTTAAAGCATAGCCTAATCCATATAATAAACAACATTATTTTATTGAAGTAGCTGACATATATTTATGTTTTTTATTTAAAAATGTTAACAGTTGAAATTAGCTATTCTGAGTGCTGGCTGACGACTTTAAATGGGTGCTGGCCAGTCAAGTAATGGCGCATACTGCTGTCCTATCTGTGTTACTACATATTACAGATTCCTCCCTTTAGTGAGTTGAACAGTAGGAGTCAGGCGTGGGCCCCCACAGTCTTCAATTGTTTCACTTCAAACTGATATACAGTGAAGGAAAAAAGTATTTGATCCCCTGCTGATTTTGTACGTTTGCCCACTGACAAAGAAATGATCAGTCTATAATTTTAATGGTAGGTTTATTTGAACAATGAGAGACAGAATAACAACAAAAAAATCCAGAAAAATGCATGTCAAAAATGTTATAAATTGATTTGCATTTTAATGAGGGAAATAAGTATTTGACCCCCTCTCAATCACAAAATATTTCTGGCTCCCAGGTGTCTTTTATACAGGTAACGAGCTAAGATTAGGAGCACTCTCTTAAAGGGAGTGCTCCTAATCTCAGTTTGTTACCGGTATAAAAGACACCTGTCCACAGAAGCAATCAATCAATCAGATTCCAAACTCTCCACCATGGCCAAGACCAAAGAGCTCTCCAAGGATATCAGGGACAAGATTGTAGACCTACACAAGGCTGGAATGGGCTACAAGACCATCGCCAAGCAGCTTGGTGAGAAGGTGACGATTATTCGCAAATGGAAGAAACACAAAAGAACTGTCAATCTCCCTCTGCCTGGGGCTCCATGCAAGATCTCACCTCGTGGAGTTGCAATGATCATGAGAACGGTGAGGAATCAGCCTAGAACTACACGGAGGATCTTGTCAATGATCTCAAGGCAGCTGGGACCATAGTCACCAAGAAAACAATTGGTAACACACTACGCCGTGAAGGACTGAAATCCTGCAGCGCCCACAAGCTCCCCCTGCTCAAGAAAGCACATATACATGCCCGTCTGAAGTTTGCCAATGAACATCTGAATGATTCAGAGGAGAACTGGGTGAAAGTGTTGTGGTCAGATGAGACCAAAATGGAGCTCTTTGGCATCAACTCAACTCGCCGTGTTTGGAGGAGGAGGAATGCTGCCTATGACCCCAAGAACACCATCCCCACCGTCAAACATGGAGGTTGAAACAATATGCTTTGGGGGTGTTTTTCTGCTAAGGGGACAGGACAACTTCACCGCATCAAAGGGACGATGGATGGGGCCATGTACCGTCAAATCTTGGGTGAGAACCTCCTTCCCTCAGCCAGGGCATTCAAAATGGGTCGTGGATGGGTATTCCAGCATGACAATGACCCAAAACACACGGCCAAGGCAACAAAGGAGTGGCTCAAGAAGAAGCACATTAAGGTCCTGGAGTGGCCTAGCCAGTCTCCAGACCTTAATCCCATAGAAAATCTGTGGAGGGAGCTGAATGTTCGAGTTGCCAACCATCAGCCTCGAAACCTTCATGACTTGGAGAAGATCTGCAAAGAGGAGTGGGACAAAATCCCTCCTGAGATGTGTGCAAACCTGGTGGCCAACTACAAGAAACGTCTGACCTCTGTGACCCAACAAGGGTTTTGCCACCAAGTACTAAGTCATATTTTGCAAAGGAGTCAAATACTTATTTCCCTCATTAAAAATCAATATTTGACATGCGTTTTTCTGGATTTTGTTGTTGTTATTCAGAGATAACGAGCCGACAGCTGAGACTCGTTACCTCCGATTGGGAGTCACTCAATACAAACATAGACATCGACAACCTAGACACCCAACATAGAACATGAACACATAGAATGCACACACCCTGGCTCAACATAATGAGTCCCAGAGCCAGGGTGTGACAGATCATTTCTTTGTCAGTGGGCAAACGTACAAAATCAGCAGGGGATCAAATACTTTTTTCCCTCACTGTAGATACCAAAGAAAAATCCAACTATAACTTTGTTTAAAGTGCTGTGGTTTACGACCTGATCTAGGTCATATAATAATGCATATTAAAATGGAAATATTATGATAATATTAGAAAGATGCTAATACATAATAAAATGGAAAGGCAGCATAAGCAGACTGTGTGTAGGTGGCTTCTCTTTAAATAGTGAACAACTCTACTCAAAAAGTTGAATGAACTCCATTTGAATGCAATTTTTAGTGGTGAACACTGTGTTCAACCACAGGTTCGTAATCCCCTAATAGGCTAAATAGGCTAGTCAATATCAAGGCTGTAAACTCAGAATAAGCAAATATCCCTTCTCATAAACACTGTCTGACTGCTAGTGTTCAAAGCAGTCCAATGTGTGTGGGTGGGGTCTAAGAGTCAGCAAATATCCCTGGGTGGTGTGGTTGGTATCTTTAAATGGTGAAGAACACATTTCCTGCTTCCCAGTCACCATGATAGGGTCTGTGATGTTGTTGCTCTTTTTCCTCCTTCTGTTCTTCTTCATCAGGGTCCGCCGACCTAAAAACTTCCCCCCAGGACCCCGTCCCCTGCCCATCCTCGGCAATCTGCTACAGCTGGACCCTGTCAACCCCCTCAAAGACCTGGAAAGGGTAAGAGAACTTTACAAAAAATCCACAAACCTGGAAAAGTTTGGTTTACACTCGGTTGATTTGTGTGTCATATACTGTATGTTGTCAGTGATTGAATAGTTAACAGTAATTTTGGTTTTGTTTGAAGTTGCCCAAACTGTGTGAACCAATATATGTTTTTGTAGCGTCCTCACAGACCTTTTAGCTTGAACAAACAACATATATTTTTTTACAAGACTTTCAACTAAAGCAGCTTAGATACTAACTAAAATGCTATTGTGATTCATGTCAGAACAGCAACAGCCACTAAACTGTGATTGATCCTAGAATAGGTCAGATTCCGACAGGTTCCATCAGGCCTAAATCAACATGCACTGTGACTTTTGAAACAAAGTCCACTTAGTTCAGTGTGTTTAGAGATACAGTATCATTCATTGACAACCCTCAAAAGGTTATTGATGGGGATTTGTTTTATTACAGAAGTTTGTTCATCGATATTAATTTAACCCAGATAGAGAAGGAGTGTCAATGATACAATACAATAACTTTTCACAGGAGGTTGGTGGCACCTTAATTGGGGAGGACGGGCTCGTAATAGGTGGAATGGTATCAAATTCATCATTCCATTCGCTCCGTTCCAGCCATTATTATGAGCCGTCCTCCCCTCAGCAGCCTCCGCTGGAACTGTCAGTAGTTGGATGCTATGGTTTAGTCTCATCTTCAGATGTGTCTGACTTGTCACACAACTTACTGTTCGGCTTGGGAACTTTCTCTCCCTCTCTCTACCTCTGTGTTTCAGCTGAAGAGGCGCTATGGTAACGTGTTCAGTCTGTACATCGGATCACGGCCTGTCGTAGTTCTGAATGGCCTTGAGGCGGTTCGTGAGGCACTGGTGACGCGCACAGCGGAATTTTCAGGACGACCAAACCATCTCATGATCAGCGACATCACAGAAGGCAAAGGTATTGAGTTCTTGATCCCTAGTATCCCCTAGGCTGGTCCTGGGTCAGTTTTATAATTTGTGATATAATATTGGTGTAGGTAGAGGTGGCCTTAAATCAGTTTAGATGATGCAGAGCACAAACACACACTGCCTTGTCGGTACTGTGTGAACTGCGTATGTATCAGTGGAGGCTGCTGAGGGGAGGACGGCTCATAGTAATGGCTGGAATGGAGTCAAAGGAATGGTATCAACCACAAGGAAACAACATCTTTGATACCATTCCATTGACTCCATTCCAGACATTATTATGAGCCGTCCTCCCCTCAGCAGCCTCCACTGGTATGTATGTATGTGTGTGTGTGTGTGTATCTAACAGATGTGATCATACATCGTAACTCTCTTGCGTTGTGTTCTTAAAGAAATTCCCAGCCAGTTAATTGGTGTTTACTCACTTGCACACAGACTGTATATCAGACGGGGCATTTTGAAATCAAACATCATAACAATGACAAAAATAGTACAAAATACAATAGGTACCACATATACACATATACATATACAGCGCATTCTGAAAGTATTCAGACCCCTTGACTTTTTCCACATTTTGTTATGTTACAGCCTTATTCTAAAATTGATTAAATTGTTTTTTTCCCTCAACAATCTACACACATTACCTCATAATGACAAATCAAAAATGGGTTTTTAGACATTTTTGCAAATTTATAGCAAATAGAAAATGGAAAGATCACATTTACATACAGTACCAGTCAAAAGTTTGGACACACCTACTCATTCAAGGGTTTTTCTTTATTTTTACTATTTTTACCTTGTAGAATAATAGTGAAGACATCAAAACTATGAAATAACACATATGGAATCATGTAGTAACCAAAAAAGTGTTAAACAAATCAGAATATATTTTATATTTGAGATTCTTCAAATAGCCACCCGTTGCCTTGATGACAACTTTGCACACTCTTGGCATTCTCTCAACCAGCTTCACCTGGAATGCTTTTCCAAGAGTCTTGAAGGAGTTCCCACATATGCTGAGCACTTGTTGGCTGCTTTTCCTTCACTCTGCCATCTGACTCATCCCAAACCATCTCAATTGGGTTGAGGTCAGGGGATTGTGGAGGCTAGGTCATCTGATGCAGCACTCCATCACTCTCATTCTTGGTCAAATAGCCCTTACACAGCCTGAAGGTGTGTTGGGTCATTGTCCTGTTGAAAAACAAATGATAGTCCCACTAAGCCCAAACCAGATGGGATGGCATATCGCTGCAGAATGCTGTGGTAGTCATGCTGGTTAAGTGTGCCTTGAATTCTAAATAAATCACAGACAGTGTCACCAGCAAAGCACCCCCACACCATAACACCTCCTCCTCCATGCTTTACAGTGGGAACTACACATGCGGAGATCATCCGTTCACCCACACCGCGTCTCACAAAGACACGGCGGTTTGAACCAAAAAATCTTAAATTTCCATCCTTTCCTTTGGCTGTCCTCATGAGAGCCAGTTTCATCATAGCACTTGATGGTTTTTGCGACTGCACTTGAAGAAACTTTCAAAGTTCTTGAAATGTTTCCGTATTGACTGACCTTCATGTCTTAAAGTAATGATGGACTGTCGTTTCGCTTTCCTTATTTGAGCTGTTCTTGTCATAATATGACACTTGAAACCCTACCTCTTTAAGGAATACCTGGAATAGTATAAAGTAATCCTTCTACCCCCCCCCCCCCTCCTCCCCCACCCCTTCATAAAAAAAAGAAAGAAGAAAAGTGGTTGTCCCACTGGCTATCATAAGTTGAATGCACCAATTTGTAAGTTGCTCTGGATAAGAGCGTCTGCTAAATTATGTAAATGTAAATGTAAATAATATGGACTTGGTCTTTTACCAAATAGGGCTGTCTTCTGTATACCCCCCCTACCTTGTCACAACACAACTGATTGGATCAAACGCATTAAGAAGGAAAGAAATTCCACAAATTAACTTTTAACAAGGCACACCTGTTAATTGAAATGCATTCCAGGTGACTACCTCATGAAGCTGGTTGAGAGAATGCCAAGAGTGTGCAAAGCTGTCATCAAGGCAAAGGGTGGCTACTTTGAAGAATCTCAAATATAAAATATGTTTTGATTTGTTAATACTTTTGTGGTTACTACATGATTCCATACATGTTATTTCATAGTTTTGATGTCTTCACTATTATTATACAATGTAGAAAATAGTAAAAATAAAGAAAAATCCTGGAATGAGTAGGTGTGTCCAATATTTTTGACTGGTACAGTATATATATCAAGCATATGTAGACGTCAGGAAATTTACATAGTGAACTTGTACACATTGTAATATTATACAGTATTTCAGAGCGTGACCTACTGCTTGCATGTCAATATCAGACTGGGAAGAACTGACGTTCGCAATCTCCCCCTATCTGCAAGCATAGCCAATGACAATACACCTTATTGGCATCTGACTTGAACCAACCAATAGAAACACATAAACATTGAATACATATTTCTGCAGTGGCAAGTGGAAACATAACCAACCCTGTTACATGTGTTTATCAGGGGTCATCATGGCAGATTTTGGCTCCAGCTGGAGGGACCACCGGCGCTTTGCTCTGACCACGCTGAGAAACTTTGGTCTGGGCAAACGCTCCATGGAAGAGCGCATCCTCGAGGAGGTCTCCCACATCTGCTCTGAGCTGGAACGCAATGCTGGTACAGCCACACACACACAACGTACCACATAGTCATCACCATACATGTTATTGTCATTATCACCACATAGTCAGTATCCAGACTAAAATTCCACAATATCAACCAATTATCGTTACAATATTTACAATACTGTGTTAACATTGGGTATAAAGAATGTGGTGATTTTTTACTCTATCTATCCTATCAGTGTGTTCAATACAGAAGCTCTATTATCGGTGCTCTTCTCTTGTCTGTGTGTATTGCCTGGTTCGGTGATCGTTGCTGTGTCCTAGCAGGCAGTTCGATGGACCCTCAGCACTTGTTCCATCTAGCGGCGTCGAACATCATCTGCTCACTGATTTACGGGGAAAGGTTTGAATACGACAACCCGGTCTTCCTCACCCTCATCAGTAGGATACAGGATTTAACCAAAATTGCTATCGGACCTTGGGCCATGGTACAGAACACTATTATCACTACTGCTGCTGCTACTCCACTACTTTTAATTGAAATAATATATATATATATATAATAGAAAACCAGGGTCGTTCCACCAATAGAGTGCCTTTTATGTCCCTCAGACATTATGTGTGTACATTTTTATGAAACACTCAATTGAACAGTTCGATCACATACATCTATTCTCTAACTAAACTAATCCATGTAAAAATAATCCAATAGCAGTGTGTTTTCATTCAAATAAGTTATTTGTTTTCTCTGGAAATCCCCATTTTGGGATGTACCACGTCACGTTTACCCAACTTCTAGGGAAGCCCAACATTTTTCAAGTTGCACCATCATCAAATCAAATAACATTTTACTGGTCGCGTACACATACAGTACCAGTCAAAAGTTTGGACACACCTACTCATTCAAGGGAATTTCTTTATTTCTACTATTTTTTACGTTGTAGAATAATAGTGAAGACATCAAAACTATGAAATAACACATATGGAATCATATAGTAACCCAAAAAGTGTTAAACAAATCAAAATATATTTTATATTTGAGATTCTTCAAATAGCCACCCCTTGCCTTGATGACAGCTTTGCACACTCTTGGCATTCTCTCAACCAGCTTCACCTGGAATGCTTTTCCAAGAGTCTTGAAGGAGTTCCCACATATGCTGAGCACTTGTTGGCTGCTTTTCCTTCACTCTGCCGTCTGACTCATCCCAAACCATCTCAATTGGGTTGAGGTCGGGGGATTGTGGAGGCCAGGTCATCTGATGCAGCACTCCATCACTCTCCTTCTTGGTCAAATAGCCCTTACACAGCCTGGAGGTGTGTTGGGTCATTGTCCTGTTGAAAAACAAATGATAGTCCCACTAAGCCCAAACCAGATGGGATGGCATATCGCTGCAGAATGCTGTGGTAGTCATGCTGGTTAAGTGTGCCTTGAATTCTAAATATAGCACAGACAGTGTAACCAGCAAAGCACCCCCACACCAAAACACCTCCTCCTCCATGCTTTACAGTGGGAACTACACATGCGGAGATCATCCGTTCACCCACACCGCGTCTCACAAAGACACAGCGGTTTGAACCAAAAAATCTCAAATTTGGACTCCAGACCAAAGGACACATTTCCACCGGTATAATGTCCATTGCTCATGTTTCTTGGCCCAAGCAGGTCTCTTCTTCTTATTGGTGTCCGTTAGTAGTGGTTTCTTTGCAGCAATTCGAACATGACCATTTTTTATTTCAAAATTATTTTATATTTAACCATTTTCAGGTCTTGCCATAGACTTCAAGTAGATTTAAGTCAAAACTGTAACTCGGCCACTCAGGAACATTCACTGTCTTCTTGGTAAGCAACTCCAGTGTAGATTTGGCCTTGTGTTTTATCTTATTGTCCTGCTGAAAGGTGAAATCATTTTCCAGTTTCTGGTGGAAAGCATACTGTACCAGGTTTTCATCTAGGATTTTGCTCCATTCTGTTTATTTTTTATCCTTAAAAATTCCCCAGTCCTTAACAATTACAAGCATGCCCATAACATGATGCAGCCACTAATTGGCTTGAAAATATGGAGAGTGGTAGTCAGTAATGTGTTGTATTGGATTTGCCCCAAACATAACACTTTGTATTCAGGACAAAAAATGAATTGCTTTGCCACATTTCTTGCAGTATTACTTTAGTGCCTTGTTGCAAACAGGATGCATGTTTTTGAATATTTTTATACTATACTATACTATACAGGCTTCTTTCTTTTCACTCTGTCAATTAGGTTAGTATTGTGGAGTAACTACAATGTTGTTGATCCATCCTCAGTTTTCTCCTATCACAGCTATTAAACTCTGTAACTGTCTGATGGCGCCGGAGGGGATGGCTGCCGTTTTACGGGCTCCTAACCAATTGTGCTATTCTGTGTGTTTTTTTGCATTGTTTGTCACTTTTTTTGTACTTAATGTTTCTGCCACTGTCTCTTATGATCGAAAAGAGATTCTGGACATCAGAACAGCGATAACTCACCTCGGACTGGACGAAGATGTTTTCTTTAACGAATCGGAGGTGAAAGATTTACAGCTCCTCCGGACCAGGCCCAAATCCCCGTCATTTGCATGAAGAGGAGATGCCGATTCAGGGGGCGCAGATCTGGATGCTTGGTGAGAATTCGTCGGAGAGTAGATAATCCACCTTCACCATCCGTCCTACTGGCGAACGTGCGATCACTGGCGAATAAACTGGATGAGCTCCGTTCGAGACTATCCTACCAACGGGACATTAAAAACTGTAATATCTTATGTTTTACGGAGTCGTGGCTGAACGAGGACATGGATAATATACAGTGGGGAAAAAAAGTATTTAGTCAGCCACCAATTGTGCAAGTTCTCCCACTTAAAAAGATGAGAGAGGCCTGTAATTTTCATCATAGGTACACGTCAACTATGACAGACAAAATTAGATTTAAAAAAAATAAAAAATCACATTGTAGGATTTTTAATAAATTTATTTGCAAATTATGGTGGAAAATAAGTATTTGGTCAATAACAAAAGTTTCTCAATACTTTGTTATATACCCTTTGTTGGCAATGACACAGGTCAAACGTTTTCTGTAAGTCTTCACAAGGTTTTCACACACTCTTGCTGGTATTTTGGCCCATTCCTCCATGCAGATCTCCTCTAGAGCAGTGATGTTTTGGGGCTGTCGCTGGGCAACACGGACTTTCAACTCCCTCCAAAGATTTTCTATGGGGTTGAGATCTGGAGACTGGCTAGGCCACTCCAGGACCTTGAAATGCTTCTTACGAAGCCACTCCTTCGTTGCCCGGGCGGTGTGTTTGGGATCATTGTCATGCTGAAAGACCCAACCACGTTTCATCTTCAATGCCCTTGCTGATGGAAGGAGGTTTTCACTCAAAATCTCACGATACATGGCCCCATTCATTCTTTCCTTTACACGGATCAGTCGTCCTGGTCCCTTTGCAGAAAAACAGCCCCAAAGCATGATGTTTCCAACCCCATGCTTCACAGTAGGTATGGTGTTCTTTGGATGCAACTCAGCATTCTTTGTCCTCCAAACACGACGAGTTGAGTTTTTACCTAAAGAGTTCTATTTTGGTTTCATCTGACCATATGACATTCTCCCAATCCTCTTCTGGATCATCCAAATGCACTCTAGCAAACTTCAGACGGGCCTGGACATGTACTGGCTTAAGCAGGAGGACACGTCTGGCACTGTGGATTTGAGTCCCTGGCGGCGTAGTGTGTTACTGATGGTAGGCTTTGTTACTTTGGTCCCAGCTCTCTGCAGGTCATTCACTAGGTCCCCCCGTGTGGTTCTGGGATTTTTGCTCACCGTTCTTGTGATCATTTTGACCCCACGGGGTGAGATCTTGCGTGGAGCCCCAGATCGAGGGAGATTATCAGTGGTCTTGTATGTCTTCCATTTCCTAATAATTGCTCCCACAGTTGATTTCTTCAAACCAAGCTGCTTACCTATTGCAGATGCAGTCTTCCCAGCCTGGTGCAGGTCTACAATTTTGTTTCTGGTGTCCTTTGACAGCTCTTTGATCTTGGCCATAGTGGAGTTTGGAGTGTGACTGTTTGAGGTTGTGGACAGGTGTCTTTTATACTGATAACAAGTTCAAACAGGTGCCATTAATACAGGTAACGAGTGGAGGACAGAGGAGCCTCTTAAAGAAGAAGTTACAGGTCTGTGAGAGCCAGAAATCTTGCTTGTTTGTAGGTGACCAAATACTTATTTTCCACCATAATTTGCAAATAAATTCATAAAAAATCCTACAATGTGATTTTCTGGATTTTTTTCCCCTCAATTTGTCTGTCATAGTTGACGTGTACCTATGATGAAAATTACAGGCGTCTCTCATCTGTTTAAGTGGGAGAACTTGCACAATTGGTGGCTGACTAAATACTTTTTTCCCCCACTGTACAGTTGGCTGGGTTTTCCGTGCATCGGCAAGACAGAACAGCAACCTTCGCTAAGATGAGAGGTGGTGGTCTGTGTCTATTTGTCAATGACAGCTGGTGCGCAATCTCTAATATTAATGAAGTCTCAAGGTTTTGCTCGCCTGAGGTAGAGTACCTCATTATAAGCTGTATAACACACTATTTACCATATTTGCATATATATTTTTCTTAGCTTTCAAGGAGCGGGACACTAATCCGGATGCTTATAAGAAATCCGCCATGCCCTCCGACGAACCATCAAAAAGGCAAAGCAGGACTAAGATTGAATCCTACTACACCGGCTCTGAAGCTCGTTGGATATGGCAGGGCTTGCAAACTATTACGGATTACAAAGGGAAACCCAGCCGTGAGCTGCCAAGTGACACAAGTATCTATAAATCACTGCTAGGCAAATCCCCGCCTTATCTTAGCTCATTGGTCACCATAGCAACACCCACCCGTAGTATGCGCTCCAGCAGGTATATCTCACTGGTCATCCCCAAAGCCAACACCTCCTTTGGCCGCCATTCCTTCCAGTTCTCTGCTGCCAATGACTGGAACGAATTGCAAAAATATCTGAAGCTGGAGACTCTTATCTCCCTCACTAACTTTAAGCATCAGTTGTCAGAGCACCTTACCGATCACTGCACCTTTACACAGCCCATCTGAAATTAGACCACCCAACTACCTCATCCCTATATTGTTATTTATTTTGCTCATTTGCACCCCAGTATCTCTATTTGCACATAATCTCTTGCACATCTATCATTCCAGTGTTAATACTAATTGTAATTATTTTTCACTATAGCCTATTTATTGCCTTACCTCCATAACTTGCTACATTTGCACACACTGTATATATATTTTCTGTTGTATTTTTTGACTTTATGTTTTGTTTTACCCCATATGTAACTCTGTGTTGTTGTTTTTATCGCACTGCTTCGCTTTATCTTGGCCAGGTTGCAGTTGTAAATGAGAACTTGTTCTCAACTGGCTTACCTGGTTAAATAAAGGTGAAAAAAATAAAAAAATAAAACAAGTCTACCAGATGAGCTAAATGCCTTCTATGCTCGCTTCGAGGCAAGCAACACTGAATCATGCATGAGAGAACCAGCTGTTCCGGACGACTGTGTGATCACGCTCGCCGTAGTCGATGTGAGTAAGACCTTTAAACAGGTCAACATTCACAAGGCCGCAGGGCCAGACGGATTACCAGGACGCATACTCAGCGCATGCCCTGACCAACTGGAAAGTGTCTTCACTGACATTTTCAACCTCTCCCTGACCGAGTCTGTAATACCTACATGTTTCAAGCAGACCATCATAGTCCCTGTGGCCAAGAACGCCAAGGTAACCTGTCTAAATGACTACCGCCCTGTAGCACTCACATCTGTAGCCATGAAGTGCCTTGAAAGGCTGGTCATGGCTCACATCAACACCATCATCCCAGAAAACCTAGACCCACTACAATTCGCATACCGCCCCAACAGATCCACAGAAGACTCCCCACTGTACTTACCCACCTGGAAGAAAGGAACAGCTATGTGAGAAAAATGTTCGTTGACTACAGCTCAGTGTTCAACACCATAGTGCCCTCAAAGCTAATCATTAAGCTAAGGCCCCTTGGACTAAACAACTCCCTTTGCAACTGGATCCTGGACTTCCTGATGGGCCGCCCCCAGGTGGTAAGGGTAGGCAACAACACATCTGCCATGCTGATCCTCAACATGGGGGCCCCTCAGGGGTGCGTGCTTAGTCCCCTCCTGTACTACCTGTTCACCCACGACTGCGTGGCCACGCACGACTCCAACACCATCATTACGTTTGCCGACAAAACAATTGGGGTAGGACTGAACACCGATAACAATGAGACAGCCTACAGGGAGGAGGTCAGAGACCTGGCAGTGTGGTGCCAAGACAACAACCTCTCCCTCAACGTGAGCAAGACAAAATAGTTGATCGTGGACTACAGGAAAAGGGGGGGCCGAGCACACCCTCATTCACATCGATGGGGCTGTAGAGGAGGTCGAGAGCTTCAAGTTCCTTGGCGTCCAGATCACTAACGAACTATCATGGTCCAAACACACCAAGACAGTCGTGAAGAGGGCATGACAACGCCAATTCCCCCTCAGGAGACTGAAAATATGGTATGGGTCCTCAGATACTCAAAATGTTCTACACTAGGTCTACACTTGTTGTCTTCGGCACATGTGACAAATAAAATTAGATTAGATTTGATTAGATTTTTAAGTCACCATTGGCCTCATGGTGAAATTCCTGAGCGGTTTCCTTCCTCTCCGGGATCTGAGTTAGGAAGGACGCCTGTGTCTTTGTAATGACTGGGTGTATTGATACGCCATCCAAAGTGTAATTAATAACTTCACCAGAGGAGGCTGGTGGGAGGCGCTATATGTGTTGATAAAACGTAGTCTCCTGAGTTGGGCAGTGGTCTAAGGCACTGCATCGCAGTGCTAACTGTGCCACTAGAGATCCTGGTTCGAATCCAGGCTCTGTCGCAGCCGGCCGCGACCGGGAGACTCATGGGCGGCGCACAATTGGCCCAGCGTCGTCCAGGGTAGGGGAGGGAATGGCCGGCAGGGATGTAGCTCAGTTGATAGAGCATGGCGTTTGCAACGCCAGGGTTGTGGGTTTGATTCCCACGGGGGGCCAGTATAAAAAAATATATATATGTATTCACTAACTGTAAGTCGCTCTGGATAAGAGCATCTGCTAAATGACTAAAATGTAATTGTAAAGCCCTAGTTATTTTGTTGCTTTGGGAAAGTATTATCTAAAGATTCTTACTTATTTACTGTGATTAGTGATTTTGTCAATATACATATACACTGAGTATACAAAACATTAACATTAAGAACACCTGCTCTTTCCATGACATAGACTGACCAGGTGAATCCAGGTGAAAGCTATGATCCCTTATTGATGTCACTTATTAAATCCACTTCAATCAGTGGAGATGAGGTCTACAGACAATTGAGACATGGATTGTGTATGTGTGCCATTTAGAGGATGAATCAGCAAGACAAAATATTTAAGTGACTTGGAGTATGATGGAGTATGATAGTAGGTGCCAGGTGCACCGGTTTGCGTCAAGAACTGCAACACTGCTGGGTTTTTCAAGCTCAACAATTTCCCGTGTGTATCAAGAATGGCCCACCAGACAACTTGACATAACTGTGGGAAGCATTGGAGTCAACATGGGCCAGCATCCCTGTGGAACGCTTTCGAAACCTTGTAGAATCTCCGAAAATGTTCCTAATGTTTGGTATACTCAGTGTACATCAGTCCCTCAGCTCAAACCTGTAACGTCAACTGAACCCTTGTTTGAATATGGTAAAACTGTTCCTCGTTCAATTATATCATTTTAAAAGAAACATTGAACATCTAATAGTCAAATCATAGTGTAAAAGCAAATGAGTTGGTTCTACTCTTTTTGGCAATTTTCTGGTGTTTTGTGGTGGAAAACTGAGCATGTCGAGCATAACACGTTCTAACAAGTTCAAATGTTTTGGTAGGCTTGTATTCAATTGCCCCTCCCTATTGCACACAACAAGCTTCAATTCCCGCAGTAACAAGGGGAGTTATGGCTGATTTACTTTCTCTTTAATAGTCACTTTTATTGTCATTTTTCTTAATAGTACCATGAGATGGGAAAACATGTTTATTATGAAGTTGAACATATGTTCTTTATGACAGAATGTTAAAATCAGGTGAAATAGATATTTATTTTTGGCAAAATTACACTATCCAAAAGACACTCTATTTGTTGAATGACACATAGTGCCTTTAGTTGTAATCAGCCTGAGATCAGAAGAAGGCTTCAAGAAGCTAATTTATTTAGCTAAACCACACATATATAGCTATATTGCTCTGTCACTTTGATCTGCTGATCTATCTCTTGTAGTTATATGAACTCATACCTGCCCTGAGGGCCCTACCCTTGCCCTTCAAGAAAGCCTTCCACATCTATGATGAAATCAAAGAACATGCACAGAAGGCTGTGACCCGCCACAAAAGTTCAAGGGTCACAGGAGAACCCAGGGACCTCATTGACTGCTACCTTGACCAGATTGACAAGGTAACTAATCAGGAGAGAAATAGAACTATGCAAGTTCAGTAAACAGACAGACATTTTTCAAAGTCAAACTTAGTAGTTGTGTTGTGCTGGCGCTCTAAACAAAAATTGGGTGCTCAGTCCTAGGAATGTGTCTGTGTCTGTGTTTGTGTTTGTTTGTGTATGTCTCAGACTGGTGATGGAGGCTCCACATTTAATGATGTTCAGATGGTGTTTCTACTAATTGATCTTTTCATTGCTGGGACAGACACCACTTCCAACACCCTCCGCTGTGCCATTCTACACCTGATGACCAACCAACACATACAGGGTGAGTAAATACACATACAACACACATACTGGTACACATTTTGTGTATGGTACACAAAGACTGTGTGTGTTCCAGAACGCTGTCACTGGGAAATTGAGGACGTTATTGAGGGACGTTCATATGCCTCGTTTGAGGACCGACACGCCATGCCGTATGTTCAAGCCGTGATCCACGAGTCACAGCGGATGGCTGACACTGTTCCTCTTAGCGTGTTCCATATGACCTCCTGCAACACGCAACTACACAGCTACCAGCTGCCCCAGGTGAGCATTGACATGACAACTGATACTGTTACATAACCGATTAACTAGCCTACTGATTTTGCTACACTCGTTATGTCTAGGTGTCCTAGGCCTAGCTAAATGGTCTGTAACCTAATTTAATGTGTGCGTTAATGTGAGAAGTAAACGTATCCGGACCAGGTGTTGAATGCATGTGCCCCAGGAGACAGCCAAGTTCCGAGTTCAGGGCCAGCTCCGTCTTGACCTCTTGAGTCTGCCAGCCCAAGCGGATTATCAGTTGTTGTTCAAAGTGGTGACCAAAATACATACACACTACCAGTCAAAAGTTTGGACACACCTACTCATTCAAGGGTTTTTCTTTATATTTACTATTTTTTACTTTGTAGAATAATAGTGAAGACATCAAAACTATGAAATAACACATATGGAATCATGTAGTAACCAAAAAAGTGTTAAACAAATCAAAATATATTTTATATTTGAGATTCTTCAAATAGCCACCCTTTGCCTTGATGACAGCTTTGCACACTCTTGGCATTCGCTCAACCAGCTTCATGAGGTAGTCACCTGGAATGCATTTCAATTAACAGGTGTGCCTTCTTAAAAGTTAATTTGTGGAATTTGTTTCCTTCTTCATGTGTTTGAGCCAATCAGTTGTGTTGTGACAAGGTAAGGGTGGTATACAGAACATAGCCCTATGGACCAAGTCCATGTTATGGCAAGAACAGCTCAAATAAGGAAAGAGAAACAACAGTCCATCATTACTTTAAGACATGAAGGTCAGTCAATACGGAACATTTCAAGAACTTTGAAAGTTTCTTAAAGTGCAGTCGCAAAAACCATTAAGTGCTATGATGAAACTGGCTCTCATGAGGACCGCCACAGGAAAGGAAGACCCAGAGTTACCTCTGCTGCAGAGGATACGTTCATTAGAGTTACCAGCCTCAGAAATTGCAGCCCAAATAAATGCTTCACAGAGTTCAAGTAACAGACACATCTCAACATCAACTGCTCAGAGGAGACTGCGTGAATCAGGCCTTCATGGTCAAATTGCTGCAAAGAAACCCCTGCTAAAGGACACCAAGAAGAAGAAGAGACCTGCTTGGGCCAAGAATCATGAGCAATGGACATTAGACCGGTGAAAATGTGTCCTTTGGTCTGGAGTCCAAATTGGAGATTTTTGGTTCCAACCGCTGTGTCTTTGTGACGCGGTGTGGGGGAACGGATGATCTCCACATGTGTAGTTCCCACCGTAAAGCATGGAGGAGGAGGTGTTATGGTGTGGGGGTGCTTTGCTGGTGACACTCTCTGTGATTTATTTAGAATTCAAGGCACACTTAACCAGCATGGCTACCACAGCATTCTGCAGCGATACGCCATCCCATCTGGTTTGGGCTTAGTGGGACTATCATTTGTTTTTCAACAGGACAATGACCCAACACACCTCCAGCCTGTGTAAGGGCTATTTTACCAAGAAGGAGAGTGATGGAGCACTGCATCAGATGACCTGGCCTCCACAATCCCCCGACAACCCAATTGAGATGGTTTGGGATGAGTCGGACGGCAGAGTGAAGGAAAAGCAGCCAACAAGTGCTCAGCATGTGTGGGAACTCCTTCAAGACTTGGAAAAGCATTCCAGGTGAAGCTGGTTGAGAGAATGCCAAGAGTGTGCAAAGCTGTCATCAAGGCAAAGGGTGGCTATTTGAAGAATCTCAAATATAAAATATATTTTGATTTGTTTAACACTTTTTTGGTTTCTAAATGATTCCATATGTGTTATTTCATAGTTTTGATGTCTTCACTATTATTCTACAAAGTAGAAAATAGCAAAAATAGAAAAACCCTTGAATGAGTAGGTATGTCCAAACTTTTGACTGGTACTGTATATGCAAAAAGGGTTCTAAGGTCACCAGTGGCAGCATATTGTTATGATATGGGGAGTGGTTTAGTGGTAGCACATAGACAGTTCACACTACCACTTCCACACCTCATCCCTAGGGCACTGCAGCAACCGGGTCCTTGATAAGCACAACAGTGCAGGCATTCAAGGGCATAGTTAATCCGTGAGAGAGGTGGCTATGGAGCTTCTCGGCCTGCTAGTCTTTGTTTTGTTTTAGTTAACCTCTTTATTTTTGGACATGTATTTTGGTAAGTGTCCTGGGCTAGAGTGAGTGATGTCATGATGGGTAAAGAATGTAGGCTATACCTGAGATATCATCTGTGTAACCTCCCCATTTCTCAGTCATTTGAGTACATCTCCTTCTCTAGTTCTCACCCTAACTACACTTTCCTCTTCGGTTCCAGGGCACGATGGTGATTCCTAACCTGTCCTCTGTGCTCCATGAAGAGGGCCAGTGGAAGTTCCCTCAGGAGTTCAACCCTGACAACTTCCTCAACGAGGATGGCGAGTTTGTGAAACCAGAGGCCTTTCTGCCATTCTCAGCAGGTACAGAGAGAGAGGTAGAGCGAGAGCGAGAGAGAGAAAGAGAGAGAGGATGCATAGAGACTGAACAAGAGAGTTCGTGTTGATATAAGATATATAAGAGTGTTTATACAGTGCATTCGGAAAGTATTCAGACCCCTTGACCTTTGACATTTTGTTACGTTACAGCCTTATTCTAAAATGTATTAAATATTTTTTTCCTGATCAATCTACATTCAATACCCCAGAATGACAAAGCAAAAACAGGTTTTTATAAATTTTAGCACATTTATTAAAAATAAAAAAGATAAATACCATAATTATGTAAGTATTCAGACCCTTTGCTATGAGACTCGAAATTGAGCTCAGGTGCATCCTGTTTCCATTGATCATCCTTGAGATGTTTCTACAACTTGATTGGAGTCCACCTGTGGTAAATTCAATTGATTGGACATGATTTGGAAAGGCACACACCTGTCTATATAAGGTCCCACAGTTGACAGTGCATGTCAGAGCAAAAACTAAGCCATGAGGTCGAAGGAATTGTCCGTAGAGCTCAGAGACAGGATTGTATCGAGGCACAGATCTGGGGAAGGGTACCAAAAAATTTATGCAGCATTGAAGGTCCCCAAGGACACAGTGGCCTCCATCATTCTTAAATGGAAGAAGTTTGGAACCACCAAGACTCTTCCTAGAGCTGTCTGCCCGGCCAAACTGAGCAATCAGGGGAGAAGGGCCTTGGTCAGGGAGGTGACTAACAACCCGATGGTCACTCTGACAGAGCTCCAGAGTTCCTCTGTGGAGATGGGAGAACCTTCCAGAAGGACAATCATCTGTGCAGCACTCCACCAATCAGGCCTTTATGGTCGAGTGGCCAGACAGAAGCCACTCCACAGTAAAGGCACATGACAGTCCGCTACGAGTTGGCCAAAAGGCACCTAAAGGACTCTCCGACCACGAGAAACAAGATTCTCTGGTTTGATTAAATCAAGATTGAAGTATTTGGCCTGAAGGCCAAGCATCACGTCTGGAGGAAACCTGGCACCATCCCTACGGTGACGCATGGTGGTGGCAGCATCATGCTGTGGAGATGTTCAGCGGCAGGGACTTGGAGACTAGTCAGGATCGAGGGAAAGATGAACAGAGCAAAGTACAGAGAGATCCTTGATGAAAACCTGCTCCAGAGCGCTCAGGACCTCAGTCTGGGGCGAAGGTTCACCTTTCAACAGGACAACAACCCTAAGCACACAGCCAAGACAATGCAGGAGTGGCTTCGGGACAAGTCTCTGAATGTCCTTGAGTGGCCCATCCAGAGCCCGGACTTGAACCCGATCGAACATCTCTGAAGAGACCTGAACATAACTGTGCAGCGACGCTCCCAATCCAACCTGACAGAGATTGAGAGGATCTGCAGAGAAGAATGGAGAAACTCCCCAAATACAGGTGTGCCAAGCTTGTAGCGTCATACCCAAGAAGACTCAAGGCTCTAATCGCTGCCAAAGGTGCTTCAACAAAGTACTGAGTAAAGGGTCCCAATACTTATGTAAATGTGATATTTTATTTATTTTTTATTTTATACATTTGCGAGACTTTCTAACCTGTTTTTGCTTTGTCATTATGGGGTATTGTGTGTAGATTTATGAGAATGATGGAGGTCACTGTGTTCTTAGGGACATTCAATTCTGCAGACATTTTTTGGTACCCTTCCCCAGATCTGTGCCTCGACACAATCCTGTCTCAGAGCTCTACGGACAATTCCTTCGACCTCATGGCTTGGTTTTTGCTCTGACATGCACTGTTAACTGTGGGACCTTATGACAGGATTGTGCCTTTCCAAATCATGTCCAATCAATTGAATTTACCACAGATGGACACCAATCAAGTTGTAGAAACATCTCAAGGATGATCAATGGAAACAGGATGCACCAGAGCTCAATTTCGAGTCTCATAGCAAAGGGTCTGAATACTTATGTAATTAAGGTATTTCTGTATAATTTCTAAACACCTGTTTTTGCTTTGTCATTCTGGGGTATTGTGTGTAGATTGATGAGGAAAAAAACAATTTAATCAATTTTAGAATAAGGCTGTAATGTAGCAAAATGTGGAAAAAGTAAAGGGGTCTGAAAACTTTCCGAATGCACTGTATGTAGAAAAGGCTTGTCCACCATGTTTATTACAGCATGTGTATGAGGGTGTTGTCAACATAAATAACTGTGTGTGTGTGTTTGTGTGTTTGTGTTCCTCAGGCTCTCGTGTATGCCTGGGAGAAGGGTTAGCGCGCATGGAGCTCTTTCTGATACTGGTGACCTTGCTTCGACGTTTCCAATTTGTCTGGCCTGAACAAGAAGGTGCGCCTGACTTCCGCCAGATTTTTGGCATAGCACAGGCGCAAAAACCCTACCGCCTGGGAGTGCGCCTGAGGAGCAGCCAGTGATGGTGAACTACACACAGTTTTCACTTAGGGTCAATATCACTAAAGCAGCACATTAAACAATGCTGTACCCTCCATTGAGTGCCTTATAGTTTTTGCTAAACACATTTTGTGACCTGTGAAGGACAGACTAAATAAAATGACCTCTTTTCATGTGAAACAAATGAACCTCCTCAACAGGTAAACATCATGTAACATGTAGAATTATGTAATATTCTGCAGCCAGTCCAGAAATAAATGGGATAGTGATTTTTTGTGTTTTATTTCCTCCTACCTATGACCCTTCAAACCACATTCCATACAGAGACACAGCAAACATACACAGACACAGATGCGATGCAAACATTTCTAATGAAACTATAAATAGAACGAAATGTAAAAGTCCTAAAAACAACACTCAAACAAAACAACCGTCTAAGTATTTGTATTTCTTTATTAATTTTAAAAGAAAATACACAAAGCCCTCTGAACATACAGAAAGCTTGTTGACTGTAGAAACGGTCTATACAAAGGTGTGTAAAAGTAATCTTTAAGTACAGTAGCTACTCACCTTTTATTTGTTATATTATTATTAACCTTTATTTAAACAGGGAGTCACATTGAGATAAAACTATTTTACAAGAGAGCCCTGTATACGTTTACAAATAAATCCCAATACATAAATAAAACACAACAGCCCTACAAAACACATTATAATAAAACACATAATACACAACATTAAATATATTTAAGAAAAGCAATCGCATTCTGTAACATAAAAGTCTCCAATCAATAATTTTAAATGCCTGAAAGGAATTATGTGTATTGTTCCACACATAAGAGCCAAAAAAAACTACAAGCAGATTTGACCAATTCTGTGGAGACCAAAGGGATCTCCAGAGTTATCCATACCTGAGAACGAGTTTGGTCATTTACACGTCTAAAATTAATCAATGAAGTAATGTACAGAGGAAGTTTCTGCAAGACTGCTTTGTAAATAAATAAAAGACAGAGAGGTCCATCCCACATGTTTGTAAAGAATACAATGATGAGTCATAAAACATTCCCCAGTGATAAAATTGCTGAATGGAATACTGAGTCCAATGGTTTCAAAACAGAGGCTGCCGCGTGCATATAAATAATGTCACCGTTAATGTCACCATAGTCTATTACAGGAAGAAGCGTTGTTTGAACAATCTTCCTTCTATTTTCAAAACTGAGGCAGGATTTATTTCTATATAAAAAAACAATTGTAGATCTCAGCTTCTTTGTTAAGTTTTCAATGTGTGTTTCAAAAGACAACTTGTCATCAATCTAGATACCCAAGTACTTATAGTGAGTAACTTGCTCAATTTGGGCTCCATTTGGAGTGCAAATACGCAAGTCCTCATGGTCAACATTACGAGACCTAGAGAACAGCATAAATGTGGTTTTATTTGCATTTAATACTAATTTAAGATCAGTATGGGATTTCTGGATTGAGTCAAAATCATGCTGAAGGTCACGAATGGCCTGCTGCACTGAAGAGGCACAGGAATAAATAACTGTCATCTGTGTAGAGTTTAATGTTACAGGTGTTAACAGTATTTCCAATGTCATTTATATACAATGTGAGCAACAATGGCCCCAAAATCGAACCCTGGGGTACCCCTTTAAGTACTTCAAGAAATGTGGATTTAACCCTGTCTATCATAATAGCATGAGTTCTGTCACTAAGATAATTCTGAAACCACAAACAGGCGTCAGTGCCAAGGCCTAACACAGACAATTTACTCAATAAGATAGAATGATCAACTGTATCAAAAGCTTTTGACAAATCTATAAATATGGCAGCACAATTCATCTTAGCATCCAAAGGATTGACAAGATCATTTACAACTGATGTGGTTGCAGTAATAGTACCGTGCCCTGGTCTAAACCTTGATTGATGTAGATTCAAAATACAGATAAAAAAGAATGAAGTTGCTCATTCACCAATGATTCAAGAATCTTAGCTAGACAAGAAAGCCTTGATATGGGACGATAGTTGTCAAGATTACAACAATCACCTCCCTTGTGTAGTGGCAGCACATAAGGAATATTTCCTGATAACACAGTTAAATTAAAGATGTGGGTTATTACACCAACAATGAGGGATGCTGCACACTTGAGCAGACCTGGATCCACATGTTCTGCCCCTGTAGATGTCTTAATGTCTAACGCTAACAACACATCAAGGACTTAATTGTCTGTGAATTGCCGAAACGAAAAACCCTGACCGACGTTTTCAAAATTATTCAGTAAAATTCCCCAATTAACATCCAGTACATTGTCAAAGTGAGTAGGTTTTTGAATACTATCAAAGAGAGAATCTGCAGAAATAAAATGTTGTTTAAATTCATTATATCACATTAATTTGTAAGGGAAGAGTAGAGGAAGTACAACCCTTTAATGATTTCACAGTTTTCCATTTCCATTACAGTCAGCTAGAGTGTTAATATAATAATCAGATTTAGCTTTCAAACAAGTTTTACATATATACAGTGCCTTGCAAAAGTATTCACCCCCCTTGGCATTTTTCCTATTTTGTTGCCTTACAACCTGGAATTCAAAACTGCTCCAGCTCCTTCAAGTTGGATGGGTTCCACTGGTGTACAGCAATCTTTAAGTCATACCACAGATTCTCAATTGGATTGAGGTCTGGGCTTTGACTAGGCCATTCCAAGACATTTAAATGTTTCCCCTTAAACCACTCGAGTGTTGCTTTAGCAGTATGCTTAGGGTCATTATCCTGCTGGAAGGTGAACCTCCATCCCAGTCTCAAATCTCTGGAAGACTGAAACAGGTTTCCCTCAATAAGTTCCCTGTATTTAGCGCCATCCATCATTCCTTCAATTCTGACCAGTTTCCCAGTCCCTGCCGATGAAAAACATGGTGTTCTCGGGGTGATGAGAGGTGTTGGGTTTGCGCCAGACATAGCATTTTCCTTGATGGCCAAAAAGCTCAATTTTTGTCTCATCTGACCAGAGTACCTTCTTCCATATGTTTGAGGAGTCTCCCACATGCCTTTTGGAGAACACCAAACGTGTTTGCTTATTTTCTTCTTTAAGCAATGGCTTTTTTTCTGGTCACTCTTCCGTAAAGCCCAGCTCTGTGGAGTGTACGGCTTAAAGTGGTCCTATGGACAGATACTCCAATCTCCGCTGTGGAGCTTTGCAGCTCCTTCAGGGTCATCTTTGGTGTCTTTGTTGCCTCTGATTAATGCTCTCCTTGCCTGGTCTGTGAGTTTTGGTGGGCGGCCCTCTCTTGGCAGGTTTGTTGTTGTGCCATATTCTTTCAATTTTTTAAGAATGGATGTTCAAAGTTTCTGATATTTTTTTATAACCCAACCCTGATCTGTACTTCTCCACAACTTTGTCCCTGACCTGTGTGGAGAGCTCCTTGGTCTTCATGGTGCCACTTGATTGGTGGTGCCCCTTGCTTAGTGGTGTTGCAGACTCTGGGGCATTTCAGAACAGGTGTATACAGTGAGGGAAAAAAGTATTTGATCCCCTGCTGATTTTGTACGTTTGCCCACTGACAAAGACATGATCAGTCTATAATATTAATGGTAGGTTTATTTGAACAGTGAGAGACAGAATAACAACAAAAAAATCCAGAAAAACGCATGTCAAATATGTTATAAATTGATTTGCATTTTAATTAGGGAAATAAGTATTTGACTCCTTTGCAAAACATGACTTAGTACTTGGTGGCAAAACCCTTGTTGGCAATCACAGAGGTCAGATGTTTCTTGTAGTTGGCCACCAGGTTTGCACACATCTCAGGAGGGATTTTGTCCCACTCCTCTTTGCAGATCTTCTCCAAGTCATTAAGGTTTCGAGGCTGACGTTTGTTGCCTTGGCCGTGTGTTTTGGGTCATTGTCATGCTGGAATACCCATCCACGACCCATTTTCAATGCCCTGGCTGAGGGAAGGAGGTTCTCACCCAAGATTTGACGGTACATGGCCCCGTCCATCGTCCCTTTGATGCTGTGAAGTTGTCCTGTCCCCTTGGCAGAAAAACACCCCCAAAGCATAATGTTTCCACCTCCATGTTTGACGGTGGGGATGGTGTTCTTGGGGTCATAGGCAGCATTCCTCCTCCTCCAAGCTCCATTTTGGTCTCATCTGACCACAACACTTTCACCCAGTTCTCCTCTGAATCATTCAGATGTTCATTGGCAAACTTCAGACGGGCCTATATACAGTGGGGAGAACAAGTATTTGATACACTGCCGATTTTGCAGGTTTTCCTACTTACAAAGCATGTAGAGGTCTGTAATTTTTATCATAGGTACACTTCAACTGTGAGAGACGGAATCTAAAACAAAAATCCAGAAAATCACATTGTATGATTTTTAAGTAATTAATTTGCATTTTATTGCATGACATAAGTATTTGATGCATCAGAAAAGCAGAACTTAATATTTGGTACAGAAACCTTTGTTTGCAATTACAGAGATCATACGTTTCCTGTAGGTCTTGACCAGGTTTGCACACACTGCAGCATGGATTTTGGCCCACTCCTCCATACAGACCTTCTCCAGATCCTTCAGGATTTGGGGCTGTCACTGGGCAATACGGACCTTCAGCTCCCTCCAAAGATTTTCTATTGGGTTCAGGTCTGGAGACTGGCTAGGCCACTCCAGGACCTTGAGATGCTTCTTACGGAGCCACTCCTTAGTTTCCCTGGCTGTGTGTTTCGGGTCGTTGTCATGCTGGAAGACCCAGCCACGACCCATCTTCAATGCTCTTACTGAGGGAAGGAGGTTGTTGGCCAAGATCTCGCGATACATGGCCCCATCCATCCTCCCCTCAATACGGTGCAGTCGTCCTGTCCCCTTTGCAGAAAAGCATCCCCAAAGAATGATGTTTCCACCTCCATGCTTCACGGTTGGGATGGTGTTCTTGGGGTTGTACTCAGCCTTCTTCTTCCTCCAAACACGGCGAGTGGAGTTTAGACCAAAAAGCTCTATTTTTGTCTCATCAGACCACATGACCTTTCCCATTCCTCTTCCTCTGGATCATCCAGATGGTCATTGGCAAACTTCA